GCGGGCGGGGATGGAGACAGCTTTTGAAGAAAGAGGGAACCGTCACTGCTGCGAGGGTGGAGAGATGATACCATCCAGATTACAAACTGTGCTGGCAGCCATCTCTAAAGCCTTGGGCCAGTTGTGTCATTTTCTGTCCCTTCGTGTCCCTTCTCAGCATTTCTCGGTGTAACGTCATGGCAGAGGGATTCTTGCTACATCCATTGGGCTCATCACAGTGAGACCTTGGGCTTGGCAGGAGCTGCAGTGGGAGAAAAGAATATAGATTTGTTCTTTATATTTTATACCAAGATACCTCCTTAACATGTCGGAGAAAACCTTGTATTGCTGTGTCAGTGCATGGTATATGCTGGTGTTTGGTTTCAGCGTGTACATTCTGGTCACAAATCAAGTAAAGATTTATTTCTTTATTTTATTGAGTATATTTGTAAGCTGTGTGGAAATGAAGAAAATCAGTTTTGTACATGAGGAAAGTCATATTAAACAAGTGAATTGTGTAGGCTTCACAGCTGGAGCAGGAGTGCCTTGTACTGATAGTAAGTCTGATTTCCTTCTGTGGTGAGGAAGCTCAGTTACCTTATTTAGCTCAATTTTATATACAGGAACTGAAAAACAGGCCACATTGACTGGGACAATTTAGAACAATGAAAGCATGGGGATAATTTCATAACCTTGATGTCATGGCCTTGCTTTGAGCAGGGTGATGGACCAGACAAGCCTTCCAACAGAAATTTTCACGTGAATGTTGTTTCCAACAACCCTGCCTTCTCTCAGGGTCCATATCCTACTCTAGGAGTGACATGTCATCTTTCCAGGAAATGTCTGGCGTGTCCTGTCACAATCTGCACCCAGTACTTCAAAGAAAATAGGCCCATTTTGTTAAGTAGGGAGCTGTGTCAAGTGGCATTTTCCTATGCCTTTGAGGCATATTGTGTTGGTAGCTGTTGATGATGGCCATGCTGAAGTAGTTCTTGCCTTCACTATTTGTGATTCTCCTGTTTCCTGGTCTTATGAAGGGGATTTGTTTTGGGCTTTGCCTCATTCTAGCAAGAGGCACAACTCATTGAGACTGTCACCTGAATATCATGGTAGAGGAGGGAGAAGAACCTATTGGAGAATTTTTTAAAAAACATGGTTTTAGAAGTGTCTGAAGGCTTGTGAAACAAGGTGTCAAAGGCTTTCCTAAAGTCTAGGCAGACAACATCTGCACCCTTTCCTTCATCTACTGAACGGGTCACCTTGTCATAGGAGGAGATCAGGTTAGTCAAGCAGGACCTGCCTTTCCTAAACCCATGCTGGCTGGGTGTGATCCTCTGGTTGTCCAAGGAGTGTGTCCAGATTCCCTTCCCTAAGGAATTAGGAAATACAGTTCTGACCATCAGCCAAACTTCTGGAAAGGTCTTGTGAGCCTGTCTCCCTGGGAGATGCAGTAGAAACAGGAAAAGGATGTCCTGTAACGAGAGTATCGTGATATGCAAGTATAGGCTGTGTATTGAGAGCAGGAGATCACAGCAGCAGTTGTACACCCAAAAATTTGGGAGATGAGGAGGAGAAGGAGTGTTTTCCTTGACAGCATTTGATATGAAATTGTGAGGAGGTTTTATAGCTGACAACAGCCAAAACTCAGAAAAACCCCAGAGGTTTGTTTGGGTGCTGAGGACCGATTTTGCCTGGGTGCCTTGTCTGTGAAAAGGTTTCAGCTGTATCAAATAATCCCAAATAATCAGCCATCCATCCCCTAGACCATTAGTGCCCTCATCTTGGTGCTGCTTTTTGAATTTGTTGAAAGCTTTGCAATGGCAATTACAACCAGATGGTGAGAACTCATTTGACACGTCAAAATGCTTAGGTGGCAGCGCAACAAAACATGGAACACTTCTCAGAAAAATAAAATAGGTTTGGGTTCAGGGAAAAAAGAGCAAACTTGAGGAGTGTTTTCCTCGGTGCAGGGCCCTGGGGGAGTGTTTGGGAAGGGTGGGAGTTTGTTGGAGAAGAATCAGCAAAGTAACTGGAAACCCTGTGGTCCATGTGTTGTGACTCTATCAGGCATGTTTAAGACTCCCAACTGATTCCTCTCAAACAGATTATCAGTGCAGAATTTCTGTCTGTGTTCATTGCCTTTCAGTTAATTTAGAAATGTAACAAGAGCATCTTTTGTTGCTTTACTCCTCTGCTTCTTAAGGATGTATCAGATGCACGTCAGCTCTAAGCTATTGTGGTTTTTTTGCTAAAATGATTCCTCTCTTATAGCAACTGCATATATAATCCACAGGACCACTTAATGTCTTCTTAAAATTGTAAATACCTGTAACACTGTCCTTAAATTTTCTTTTCTTCTCTCTTCATAAAGAGAGAGACATTCATCAGTGGCCTGGGCAATTTCTGCTTTAGTTGTCTCACTATGGAAGGAGCAAGACCATAAACAGTCTGCTATCAAATAGTGTCCCAACAAAAGAGATGGGGTTTCCCCCCTATTTTTATTAATCTCAAGCAAAATAGGTTGTTTAAAGGCAGGTGTCAAAAGGACCCTCCTTTACATTCCCATTTACTTTAGTGAGCACTGTGGGATATCATGACAATAGGGCTTTTTAGGCAGTAATTATCCGGAGTTACATGTTGTTTGGAATATTGGCAGAGCTGGGTAGAAACCAAATTGCATTTTATAAAGCTACTGTATGTCATGATTTTCTTGTGATAATACTGGGTTTCATTTGTAAAGCAGTATGAGCTCACCCATGGAACATAATTTTTAAACCCATCTTTTTAAGATTCAGAAAACAGGAGCTATATCAGTGTTCATCAACACTTGGTAATGATTTCCCAGTAAAGGAGGAGGAAGAGAAGAAATCCCCATGGGGAAATCCTTCTAAAATGGGTGTGCTTAGGCATGCAGGAGTTGTCCCATAATGCTTTCAAGGGAAACAGGAATCAGTTCTTTGGGGAATTGATACTTAAATGTGGACAATCTTACTGATTCTGCAGGCTCTTTACTTACAGAACTAAAATATATAAGACTTTTTAATGTTGTTTGCTTCTTCTTGTAGCAATCTAAAAGCTCCCACCTCCCACAGAATAAAACCAGACAAAAAACTGTGAGGAAGAATTTTATGATCTATGTTAATTTTTCATTGCTAGGCCAGTTTATTTTCTCCAGTTGCTAATACTTTCCAGGTCCTGAGCATCCAAGTGAGCTTTCCACACCCTCATTCCTTAGTGGAGATGAGGAAAAACCTGCAGTGATTCACAGCATGCTCACTATCAACCCTGGCAACGTTAACCATACCCACAGTCCTTGTTGGTTCAAAGGGACAGCAGCAAACCTTGCTTTCTCTGCCAGAATACATAAACAGAGTAATGAAAGCCAAGTAATCAGTGTCTCATAAACGAGTGAAACCAGTGTATTGTTGTTCTGTCTGCCTTGGAAAGAGCTGTTCCTTGGAGATCAACACAGGATGGCAAATAGTTAATCATTGCTTTATCAAACAGTAACTGTCTTCAAAACTGAGGTCCAGAAAACAACACTACAAAAATGCCAGAGGAAAGTTCCAGTCTGCTTGTTTATGACTGTGAGGGTGGTTTTTACTGATTAATGAATCCAAAGAGTGTTTGCTCGCTCTTAACTGGCATTTAAGAGTTCAGGTAATTCCACTTTCAGCTCCAGTAGTTTGGCATAAGACTGTAATTCAGAAATGTGTGACATGGCAATGAAGGAATTAATGCACAATCCTCATACTTTAAAAGGATGACTTTTTCCCTGTTTTTCCTCTTTGGCCTATATCACAATAAACGTATTTGTAGTAAAACACAGTATCCTGTAGTGCTTTGCAAAATACTCTCTCCTTTCTCAGCAAAAGGGATAAAAGAGACTTTTAGCTGTTACTCTTAAGAAAAAACATTGTGTAAAACCAGCACTGAGGTATTCAGGTGATGCAGTTCTTGTGTAGATGAAGGAGTGAGATGTGTTGTGCGGTGCCTCACCTTCCAGTCCTGTACCCAGTTAATTCACACAGTACAATTGATTTCCCAGCTGGGAACTAGTTTTGCCATTGTTACTTCTGTGCTTGTAATTGCACTTTGAGGTTGGCAGGTTGGCTCAGGCTGTGAGATTCCCAGATTATGGATGTTTTCCCAACAGGGAGAGTGCAGGGGCAGGGTCTGTCTCTGACAGAACAGGAGGAGGCAGTTGGTGTGTTGTGCTTGTGTTCAGTGGTGTGTGTGTGTAGCCACAACCTTTCAAGGTGTGGTAACCAAATGATGGTCTGAGATACCCTGATAACTTTAGTTTAGTTAATAAAATCTACCACACAGCATTTAATAAACTGTAGCCCAATCTTGGCTTTTTCACCTTTTGACATTTGATTCCCTTTAACTGCTCTTTCTAGGTATGCTTTGGAGAGCATCTCTGTGGATGAATCTACTGTGTAGATTTTGCCCCAGAGCAGGAAAGCAACCTGTGGAAAAGTGCAGGCAACCCAGAAGGGTTTGGCAGAGACGTCTTGGTAGATTTGGGCTTCATCTGCTGGTCACCATGTGCCATCATCTACCTTTGTTCTTGTTAAAACACCTTGGTATAAAGGAGTCCATAAAGAGTTAGATGAAGTCTGTCTGAGAGAGGCTGTGTTGATGGATGCAAAGGACTTAAGGCCAGCTTAGTTGTTTGGGATACAGCAATGGACAGCAGATCAGCAGCTTTGGGGATAAACCAAATAGCAGGACAGCAGCAAATACAGCGCAGCAGTGAAGTTATTCTTAGGTGGTGGCAGATGCCCATGTGTGTCTATAAATAGCCCTATCCATAATGTGACCATTGTCCTGTGTGTGTTCATGGAACCACATGAGACTGCTGCAGGAAGCAACACATGCCTCCCACATGGCTAGCAAGGGAGAGGATGGTTTCCCCCTTGGTGGAGCTGTTGCAGTGCCAGTTTGGGTATTGGAACTGCTCTCAGCCATGCTGGCCTTTGCACCTGTTGACTCCTTCTTCTTCTTCCCCTTTCCAGGAGCTGAGTGTTGTGACCTGCCCTACTTCTCCCTGCTCGGTGTGGGAACGACCTGAAGAACGTCTTGAAGCCACCTGTACTGCTTCATGCAGTTAAAGTAAGGTTAAATGTTTTGGCAGCTCTTTCAGGTATACTCCAGGATTGAGAAGAGGAGTTTGGGAGAATGGGTTTGTCCATGTCAAGCCTTTTGTCAAACAGCCTTGACAGGAGGAGGGGATGCTGATATCAAAGCAGTTAAAATGATATAAACCAATTCAACAAGTTATTTTGCCATAAAATACAATCTCTTTGTGGTGGAAGTAGAAAAGGGATATGTGGTGTTACCTCCTGTATCAAGCAGACTAAATGGTATAAAATAGCACTTAACACTTTAAACATCAGCTGTTTTCTCCTAATATTTTAAGATACGGCTTTCATGTCCCTGGGGCAGGCATATGGTTACAGCCCCAGGATTTCCACGGGAGCCGGCCGGGATCAGAGCCGAGGTGCCTCCTGGTCGGCACAGCGGCTGTCGGTCTGTCTGCCCCCGAGCAGTCGTGTTCTTGAGCCTTCTGGGTTTGTTGTTCAGCTAACACCAGCTTCATGGTGTGGTGAACCAGATCACAGGATGGATCTGACCAAAAAGCGAGTATATGGTTATTGCAATACTGACAGGAGCTGTTTTGACTCATGGAGTTACACCCTTTCTCTCCAAAAAGACTTGAATGGGTAAAAACTGTTAGCCCGAAGCAAAGAAACTGCCAGAGTCTTGCCTGGAAATGGGCGCTTGCCATGTGTGAGCTCTGTCAAGGGAGAGAGGGAGGGAGGAAAACCTCGGCAAGCTGCCTCTTTTCTCCTCCTGCTGTCCCTAACCTGTTTACCTTCTGCAGTGCCTCATATTTTCCATGGTCTTGCCTACAAGACCAGCACTTCAACGAGACTGAGTCCAAATCGTTTGGTGTTACTGAGCTGTGGCAACAGCTGGGTGGATTAATCATAAACCATTGTTACTTGTAGAGAGACAAGTATGTATTTTAATTATTTGGGTTTTCCTTTTTTCGGTGGGGTTGAGCAGTGGAATTATACCTATTTTCAGACCTTAAGAAATGAAGTCCTTGGCATGATTGTGAATGGAACCTGCTTTATCAGGAACGAATAAGAGGCTTGCTGAGAGCTATCCTCCGAGTTCATCATGTTTAAAGGAGGAATGCACGACACCAGCTGCAGAGAAGCAATTTGTGGCTTGATTTGTCATAGTATTTCTTAGCTTTCTGCTAATTTGGGGAGTGTGGTGAGTTGCAGCAAGCAGTGCTCACTGTTGAGGAAGATTCCAGAGCCTTTCTGGGCATGACCAAGGGGGATGACTTTTTGTACTCAGCCGCAGCAGTGAAATCTCTGTGGAGGCCCAGCACAGGCAGCAAGTTGCTCACCTGAAGTCCTGCCTGGGAACCAGCCTGTGCCTCATGTCTGATTTCTGGGTGTGCCTCTTCTGAAGGACCTGGGAAAAAAAGAAAGGCTAATTTGGAGTTCAGGAGCAGCATTCTCATACCCTTTCCTTTTTCTACCTGCTGGTCTAGTATTTCCATAATTGTGCTTATAATGACAATCTTTTCATTTCATTCATAAAGTGGTTACTGCTTAATGAACTTCATGTTAATGAGCTCTGTAACATTTAAAATAGCTGCATAACTTGAAAAAAAGAAAAAAGCCTTCAGCAGTGAAGGGACGGATTTCCACTCCCTGAGCTTAATCCTGTGTTATAACATAATTGTGGAGAGTTGCCTGGCTGGGAACAGCTGCACAGCGTGGGCTCTTGCTTCTGCAGAGCTCCTTGTCCCCAAGTTTGGGTAATAAATGATTTACTGGGGAGGCTGGGACCTTTGGGCACTTAACCCGTTCATTTCCTCAGAGACTAGCCTGAAAGGTCACTTTGTAAAGGCAGTGGAAAGAAACAGTTTTAGGTGTCTGCAAAATGTGGGGTTTTGCATATAAATGTGCTGCAGAAAGGCTCAGGTGCAGGAGGTGGGTTAGTGGAACTGGATACAAACTGTGCTTGCTTGGATTTTCATTATTTGATGCTTTAATTTATTTAAAAATGGGGCTTGAGTGAGCGTTCTCTCTTTTCTGGGCTAGGGTTGTAATATTTTCTGTTGCTTGGGGTTTTACTTTCTGTGGGATATTCCCAGTGCAATAAAGTGTCCTGGGAACAGAGCTCTCATTTTCCTTGCAGGGAATGCCACACCAAGTGACTCCATCCTTGCAGTTGCTGAGTGAATGATGTGCATTTTTTGGGCCTGTTGTGCCTCAGAAAGGATGTTTCAGCAAAATGAGCATGTTCTCTCACTGCCTAAAGTATATGTTTAGAGAAGAACATTTTCCCGTAGTTGTGTGAGTTGAAAGGAGAGGAGCAATTATGAAGAAACAATTTGTAATTCTGCAGTGTCAGATGTGGTCATGCTGTGCCACAGGGAGTGAGGTTAGCACAGGTACTCCTGTAGGAAACCTGAAGTTTCTGATGAAATTTTCCTCTTCTGCAGTAAAGTGTCAGCCAGCCTTTTCCTGAGTAAGTCTGTGGTGCCTGGGGCCACAATGGCAGCATTTGCAAAATGGAGCCTAAAGGGAGAAATGAGTCTGATGTATTCGTCAGAGAAGAAAAGCACATTAAAATGTTGGGCACTGAAGCTTCTTAGACCAAAATGCAAGTGTGGAAACATGTCTTGCATCTTGGACTTGATGCTATTTTTTTCCAACTCGACCTGTGGCTAGAACTCTCTGCTGTGGAGAGTTAAGGTTGGTGCATGCCTTTATTAAAATACTCATTGTGTAACCACCTGGTTTGTAAATACTAGGAAATATTTAATATTTGTCATCATTAAAGTGTGCGTGGTGTTTTGGGCATCATGGATTGTTTTCTGCTGCAAGGCTGTGTTTTTGGGAATGCAGTACAATGCTGTGGTTTGGGAAGCACAGTGAGGAGCAGGGCCTTACTGCTCAGCTCTAGGGCTTGGGGATGTTGTTTATATTCCTGAAACCATCATTGCTCAGCATAGTTCCTAAAACAGCACAGCCTTGAGAGTCAGAGAATAGTAAAGTGGAGAAGGTTTTAGGAGGTAGTCAAGAAGTGTAGGAATCAATAGTTAGAGGCTTTGCTCTCTCCCACTGCATATGTAAGGCTGTAGGCATCTCTTTTCTGTTGATGGCTCTCCACTGTGTTTATCCTTTTATGCACTGGGGTGAAATGCTCCCCAAAGCCTGTTCTTGCCTCCTTCCATTCTTTACCTCGTCCCATATAATGCATCTCTGTTTTCAGAGATACCCAGTAACTTTCATGATGCTTCAGTTTGATGCCTGGGGATTTCCATGAAGGTCCTGGTTAAACCCCCAAAGTCAAGAATCATCCATACAAACATGAGCTGGTTGTCACTGAGAGCTTCCCCACAGTTTACTGCCAAAACGTGTATTGAAACAACAAAGTGTGTAGGAAGGTATAAACTGGATTTTGCTCACTTGAGGAGGCAGCTAGAATGTCTGCTAAGGATTTCTGGAAGTTAAATTTTGAGCCTGAGATAAAAGTCTCATGCATACGTGAAACAGCTGCTCCAGAACCTGTTGGAGGACTTAATTTGAGTATAAACATATGTGTGCTTTTGCGTACATGCTGCTCTTTAATTCAAGTCGACTGTTAGGTCTTAACTTTATTAGGATGTAGCTACTTGAACTGAAGATGTGGTCTGTGATTTTTATTTTATTATAGAAGCATGATGCCTCCTTTTGAAATGTTTGGATTTTACAAATCGGTATCTTAAGTACTGTTTGTCTTTTGTAATATGTTAGAGGAAAAAATTTACAAGTGAGGGCAGGGTTATATTGGATTACAAGTGAATTGCTTGACAGTATGTGTGTACTGTAAAATGGGAAATTAATCACCCTGTGTTGATGACCCATGGACATTTACAAAAGGCTGGTCTTTCTGTAGCACAAATAGATTCCGGAAACAGGAAAGAGGCTTATGACAAGAAGATGAGATCAGTTTGTATAATTAGAGCTGGCTAATAATCCTTTTTTACTCTCTGTTTTTGCAGCTTTTACAGTATCTTTCTTAATTTGAAATTGGGCATATGAACTGTAAAGAGATAGCTGCTGTGGTTTGAGTTTTATAGGTTAGTTTTTTGTACCTACTAATAGGTGAAGGGATGGAGCAGGGAAACACTTGAGAGGGATCTCTGCCTTCCACTTCATGGGGAAAGTGCTGCTTTTGTTAACCCTCCACTGCTTCATATCTTCCCAAGATTTGGGCAGGAATTAAGTAATCCAGCTGATGATTTTTTTTGACAATTACGAGATTTAAATGGTCCAAAAGAAGAAACTTAATGTTGAGACTAAGGGTATTTGGCTAGGTATTACTCTCTGGAGTAAGACAGGGCTGGCAGAGCTGAGTTAGGGACTTACTACAGTATGGATAAGGCTTAAGCTTATTTTTTTATGTGTGTGTGTATCTGCTTGCCTGTATCTTAGCTTTGTGTTACACTTCTTTATTTTGGGAAAGGTAATGGGAAAGGTTTGGGTGAAGCAAGTGGTGTGAGCAGGGGGTGGGTGCCCCTGGGCAGTCCAGCTCCCAGCCCAGGAACAGTGCTGTGCCAGTTCCTGCTGCCAGGAAGCTGAGCTACATTAAGCAAAGCAAGTTAATCTATATCCAGGGCATTTTATTAAATCATCAGTCAATTAAATCAGTGACGCTCTGTTAGCTTGTGTTGCAGTGAGGCTCCAGCCCCTCTGCAATAGCTCAGCTCTACAACTCCCCCACTGCTGCTTGGTGGGCTCTTGTGTATTCAGGCCACAGGACTATGGTTCCCAACTCAGTAAAGAAAAAATACAACAGATTTTAGGCAGATTTTGCAATTATATATGTATTATTTAAATTCTTTTTTTCTAAACTTTTGTGAAGTTTCTTCTCTTTCTGTAACAGAATCTCTGTCTTGTCTGGTTTTCCTGAGGCTGGCTTGCTCTGTGCTTTTGGAGGACAGTGATGGTAGAGCCAGACCAACACAAAACATCTTTTAAACCTCCTTCTCGTCCCTTGTACCTGAAGGAAACTCCTGTTTCATCTGTAGTTGAATG